CTAGGCTCTTTTGCCTTCATGGGTTCCTTCCTCCATAAAAAAAATATTTAAAAATATATTTTACAATTGCATTGGTATAAAGACAAATATAATCCAAGTTTGGTCATATTCGTTTTATTTTTCTTTTGATTTTTAAAAAAAAATCATAACATTTTGGTAGACTCCTAAAAGTATTGTGAGCCTTAGGCTCTGTGTCTCCTATGCCTAATGGGTAAGTCAGCCCTGCATTAAAGTGGCCAGGGTTGGAGGTGGGGGAGGGTAAAGAGGCAGAGATGGTGGCATTGGTGAGCCTCACCTCTTTCCCTGGTCGTTCCGGCCTCCAGTGCTGGAGGACAGTATTTGCTTCTCCTTGGGGCCCTGAGAGGAGAGGAAGAAACGATTAATGCATGGCTCTTGGCTGCAATCTGGCTGTCAGGAGCCTCAACCCCCTCCTATGGCCTTGGCAGGGCATAGTCACTGGGGGAAATCTGCAAGTCCTTAGAGTTGGTAGGAACTCTAGCCGTCATCTAGTCTGACCCCCACCTTAGGGTAATGAAAGGCCAGAGTGGGAAGAAGTACCCCAAGCTTAACAGCTTACAGCATGAAATTTGAAGTCAGAAGGCCTGGTTTGAGTCCGAGCTTTCCACTCAAAAATGTTGTGTGACTTTGGATAAATGACTGCACCTCTCTGAGCGTCAGTTTTTTCATATGTGAAGTGGGTGATTACAACACCTACTTCAAGGAGATTGTGAAGACTTATTCATAAACAATATTCACTGTTTTTTAATTGAGTACTTCCTATGCACTAGATCTTGCACTATATGCCTTCTATGTGTTCTCTTATTTAACCCTCACAACCACTCTGACATAGCTACTAATATTATGCCCATTAGATGAATAAGGAAGCTGAGGACCAAACAGGCTGTATTGTATTAGCAGTTAGGAGCATGGACTCTAAATCCAGACTTCTTGGGTTCAGTTCCTAGATCTGCTCCATACTGGCTGTGTGATCTTGAGAAAGACCCTTAACCTCTCTGTACCTTATTGTCCTCATCTGTAAAAACAGGGAAAATAATAATACCAACCCCAGGGGTTGTTGTGAATGCTTAGACCAGCACCTGGCACATAGGAAGCACTATGTAAATGTTACCTTTCATAATTCCAATTATGTTTTTATATCTTAGAGCAGCTAAGTCATTTGTCCCTATGGCTAATAAAGCTAGAACTAGGACTCCAGTCTAGTGCAGTGACTCTAAAGCCTGGGCTCTTAATCATACCTCATGGAAGAGAATAGGGGAAGGCACTTGGCACAGTGCCCAGCATTCAGTAACAGGAAAAGATCACCTCTGGGACTATATTGTCCAAAGCCACACTGCCAGTTTGTAGCAGGCCTAGGTCTCAATCTCACAACTTGGTGCTCTTTCTACATCAGACTGTGTCCTCTATGCACAGGGCTGCCTCTGAATCCAGAGCGCTCTCACACTGCCTGGGGTGGGGACAGGGTGCAGCGGAAATGGATATGTATCTTCCTAGGACACTCTATTTCACTAAAATGCCACAGGTGTCACCTTCAGAGCCTGTCCCCACCATTCTGGCCAAGGAGTGACCTCCTGCCCAGGGAAGATGGTGTTGGACTTTATTTTGTGGTCCAGCTTCAAGCTGTAAATCTCAGGCTGGGGTTTAAGCCCAGACTCAGAATTCTGGCCCCCACCACAACCCCAAACTTAGGCAGCCAATTCAAATTCCCCTCCCATTGACCTGGGCCCAATGCTGTCAGGAAAGTCAGTCTGCTGGGTAGGAGGTGGAGTGGGGTGACCACATCACTCTAGGATGAGAACCAAAGCCAGAGAGATACTCTGGGGGCCTTCTCCTATCCAGAACCCCCCATGGTTCTCTGCATTCATGCAAAGAACTTGCCTTCTTCCTTATGACAGGATGGATAAAATATGTCTTAGGCTAATAAAGTTTGGGGGCTTATTTGCAAGGTGGCTTTAAATCTTCAAGTTCAGAGCCAGTTATCTCAACAACTGGCTATTAATGCCTCCATTCCCAAATCTGGGAAAGTCTCTTGGAGCAATCACCCAGCCCAAAGATGGCATATAAGTTTGCTCTCTTGAGACAATTCAGATAGATGGGCAGGGCTGCCTAGCGCACTGGGTTGAAAAAGATTCTGCAGCCTCATGTACCCTCAGCGGGAATGCAGGCTGTAACCCATTAGCAAAGTCTGGCATGGGCATCAGAGGTAGGAGGGATGATGTCATGTGTATTTTGTATTCGTGACCGCTGGCTGGTTCAAGCTTCACTTAGCAGACATGGAATGATCTAACTCCTGACAGTCTCCTGGAGTCAAGGCCAAGGCCCTGGGAACAACTAGAGAACCACGAAAGGCAGTCTTTAACCTTAGGAGGTGTTACAATGGATACAGTGGTGGCAAAGGTGGGAAGGACAGTAAGACATTGAGGAGAAGGAGAATGAGGTGGCAGGATAGCTTCTGAGAGAAGATAGGCCTTGGAAGAGCAGAAGGTGTGTTCCAGGTTGGGGGGGGTGGTGCTGAATGGGAGGTGGGGTGACAAGGAAACTGGTATGATCCACAGGACAGGGGCAGGAAGAAGATGGTGGATTGTCAGGTGTTGCTGTGATGGAGTATGCTTGGCTGAGGCAGGTAGGAGTCACACTTGCATCCATTCAACAAGTACATATGTTAAGCCTGTGTGGCAGGCAGTATCGGGGTGCTGGGGACTCAGTAATGACCATGACATAGTTCCTGTCCTTTAAGAGCTCAGTTTCTGGGGGAAATGGAGAAATAAGTGTGAAAATGGCAAATTTCTAAGGCTAGAGTCAAGGATGATGATGATGATGGATGCTGAGGGTCCCTAGAGGAGGCACAGGATGGGCGACCCAAGAAAGCCTTCCCCCCTCAATGAATGAATGAGGTGACATTTAGGCCAAGACCGAAAGCTGAAAGTAGGGCTTAGCCAAGGAAATAAGGGGAGAGAGGAAGGTGCCAAGCAGAGGGAAAAGCATGTGCAAAGCCTCAAAGGTGAGAAAGAGTATGGTGAGGGACTGGGGGTGATCACAGTGGGCTGCTGAGCGATAAGGCCTGAAAGCGAAGACACACGTTCAGTCTAAGGCGGCACGCCCACAGGTGGCGAACGTACCATGTAGTAATCGTAGAGGAAGCTCAGGGCTGCAACACTGTCATCGTCCCCGTTAACCCTCATCATGGCCTTCGTGGCGGCCGTCAAGGGGTTTTCCAGGTAGGTCTTCCAGGCTTCATCCTCATTAGCATAGGAGAACTTCTGGAAGTTGACTGGGTCATTCTTTAGCAGCCGCACAGACCTGAAACTGAAAGGCAAGTAAGGAGGGTCAAACTTAGGCTGTCCCAGAGGAAGGTCCATGAATGCCCAAGAATTCAGAGTTATCAGTCTTGCAAACTTGAAGCCACTTTTCCTGCCACTATTAGGCAGCTTGGGGCAGTGGAATGGACACAAATTCTGGAGCTAGGCTGCTTTGGATCAGTAACAAATGCTGCCATTTAAAAGCTGAAGACCTGGGGCCTCAGTTCCGTCATCTATAACATGGGGCCCATGATCCCTTCCTACCAAGGCTATAGCGAGAAGTCAATGAAATGTTTGCACAGTAGATACCTATTCAAGGAGAATCATTATAGGACAATGGTGATAACAAGCTGCAAGGCATAAAAGTTCTAGATAACCCAGCATGAGTTCTTCTGAAGTTGTCCTCAAGACCGTGAAAGGCACAGAAGGCTGGGGATCATTTCTAGTCAAGGAGAAAGCATGGCAAGTGGCAGAGAGAGCTGGGGCAGGAAAGCCCTTAGGCAGAACCTGCTCTTGGGAAATGGCACTGAAGAGCCACGTTTATTGTGGAGTGCCTGCAGCAGCTGCTCAGGCGCCAGGAATTGGAGTTCAATGCTGCAGGGCACACGGAGGCAGCTAGGACCTAGGCACTGCTAGGACCTGAAGCGTGGACAAATAAATACAAGGCATGAGCCCCAAGAGACAAGTCATAAGGACTCAAAGGAAAGAGATCAGGGAAGGCTTTTTGGAGGAAGCAGACATTTTATTTGGAAACACCCAGCATAGAGGATTATATCACTCAGACATGGGAAGGCAGGGATGGGGGCATAATACAGAATAACGGTGATGATGATAAAAATAATATATAATCTTTATTGAGCACTGACCATGTTGTAGGCACTGAGCTGAGCACTTTTCATAGAGTATCTCATTTAATTCTCACAACAACCCTGTAAGGCAGGTACTGTTACTCTTCCTATTTTACAGATGAGGAAACTGAAACTCAGAGAAGTTAAGGGAGTTGCCCAAGGTCCCAGTCAGTGAGTGACCCAGCAGGGATTCAAACTCAGGCAAGGTAATACTGTAATCCAGAATAGTGTTCTCAGAATGACCGGGAGGGCTTGTTAAAAACACAGATTGCTGGGCTCCATCCCCAGAGTTTCTGATTCAGTAGGTCTGGGTTCCCTGTTGATGCTGATGCTGCTAGTGTTGGGACCATACTTGGATAATTGCTGGCATAGAATATGCTCTACAGCGTGAGCAAAGGCACGGAGGTAGGAAAGTTCTGGTTTGCTCACTCTAGAGCAAGAGTGTGTGAGGGACAGCGGTAGGTAAAAAGATGGGGACAGCCAGGCAGGCTGGGGAGAGACAGACCCAGAGATGAAGTGGGTAGTGACTGATCACCTGGTACCCCCATGCCTCCCTTTCCAGACGGGCCTGAGAGACTCACTCACCCATGTTAGGGACATAGGAACAATGTCAGCTGCCACTTATTATAATACAGTCGGCCCTCTGTATCTGCAGATTCCACATCCGTGAATTCAACCAACCGTGGATCGAAAACATTCAAGGGGACAAAAGTTCCAAAAAGCAAAACTTGAATTTGCCACGCACCAAGCACTGCGCTGAATCTCCGCAAATGAAATGCCGCCTAGGCATACCCTGCCGTAGCCTCCCACACATTTCACAGCTCCCCAGTCTCTCTCCAGCACTTGTCGTTTGGAGCATCATTTGCCTCCACAACTCCTTTGTTTGCTGCTTGTGTTGTCCACACCCTTTGTTTCTAGGAAAAAAAATGGCTCCTAAAAAGCAATGAAACCCTACAGGGCAGTTCTACTCTGTCCTGTAGGGTCGCTATGAGTCAGAATCGACTCAGTGGCAACGGGTTTGGTTTTTGTTTAAAAGCAATGAAGTGGTCAAAGTAATCTCTCAAAAGACTAGTGGGTGAGGGGTTTGAGGAGAACGAGAGGCATAAGTTTCAGGCTAGTAAGTGAGGGCTGGCTAGCTCTGTAAAGCGTTACGGCTTCAACAACTTCAAGATCATGGGAGAGACGGCATTGGCTGATGCCCACGCAGCGTGCGTGTTCCCAGAAGAGCCCAAGAAACTCAGAGAAGGGAAAGGCTACCTTCCACAGGAAGTCCGTAATTGTGATCAAACAACTATTTACATAGCATTTACATTGCATTAGGTATTATAAATAATCTTATATAGGAGGATGTGCATAGGTTAATGCAAATACTACACTAGTTTATATAAGGGACTTAAGCATTGTAGATTTTCCAGGGGGTCCTGGAACCAATCCCCAGCGGCTATTGGATACCCAGGGGCAACTGTGTAGATGATCACTCTCCATTCATTAGCTCTGTTCCCTTAAAGGACACTACAAGGTAGGGAGGAGTCCCTGGGTAGTGCAAATGGGTAATATGCTTGGCTGCTAACCGAAAGGTTGGAGATTTGAGGTGCCTAGGAAGAAAGGCCTGGCAATCTAGTTCCCAAAGATCAGCCATTGAAAACCCTATGGAGCACAGTTCCACTCTGACACGCATGGGGTCACCATGAACTAGAATCAATTCGATGGCAACTGATTACTGGTTGCAAGGTAAGGATCATTTGCTTCATTTTACAGATGAAAAAGCTAAGACTTGGAGAGGATCATAAAATGCCCAAGATCACCCACCTAGTACATAACATAACCAGGACTTAAACCCAGGTTTGCCAAGCATCAAAGCCATGTTTTACCATAATGCAGGAGGGCAATCCTTACCACAGAAGAATAAAGTCTTAGTGGTAGAATTTCAGGCACTGTGGCAGACTAGTGGGTGGGCAAAGACCTTTGCAAATCATGCCACAGGAAGGGCCTTTCTGCTGCCCAGTGGCTCCTGCCTACATTCTCAGACCCAGAGTGGGAGCAGCAGCCAGGCCACACCCAGGCAGGTTGGGGCGGGGAGGCTTCATCCAGCCCACAGTGCCTCCTATCCCACTGGGCCTCAAGGTACAGGGCATTGGGCTCTGAGAAGGAGGGAGCTGTCACACAAGAAAGAGAAATGACAGAAACCTTTCTGCTGCAGGGGTGTGGAAAGGGAGGCACACCCCGAGTTTCTGCTGCAATAAATCAAGGGGCCTCAAGACTTAGCTGTGAGAAGAGGCCCCTCCTAGCTGCCTCCTGGGCCTGGGGTTAGAGGAAATCACTGAGCAAGCCCAGGGAAGCCACCTTCACCCCATGCGCAGCCCTGGGGCAAAGGAAACTCCCAAATCAAGCAGGCATAAGGGAAGCAGGGAAAGACCTGGTGGGCCACAGCCCCCAGGTCAACTGGAACCCCCAGAGCTTGGCACTGTTCCTCGTTTGTAAAATGGGTCTCATAAAAGGATCACTGTGAGGATTAAGTGCATCAACACACGAAAAATGCTTAGAACTGTTCCTGACACATAGTAAGTGCTTAATACATGTGAGCTATTACTGTGCTCTGGTGTCCGGCTTGGAGCTAGACATTGAGGGGCTGCAAAGAGGTACAAGACATGGTCACAGAGCAAGTCAGTGGCAGATCTGGGCCTGGTGCACCAATTTGCTAATGATGACCATTATCAGTTTTGATGAGCTGTTATCTTACCCGTTTTAAAAAATTAAATTTTAGAAGACAAAGATAAAATCATACCAGAAACAAAAGCACAATGTTTGTTGTTCACCTGAGAGAATTTTCTGGACTACAGGGTTCTCCAATCCATCCTGTTGGGATCCCAAAGTCTAATACCATACATTAAGCTTTTAATATAGGCAGACACTGAGCCAATTGATTTTCTTGTGTCATCCCATCTACTCTTCACAACAGCCCTAAGAGATAGGTATTCTTTTCCCCTTTTCCAGAAGGGGGAATTGAGACTCAAACAGGTGATATCTCCTGCTCAAGGTTACTCAACTAGTAAATGGGAAAGGCTCAACTTGAACCTGGACCTGTTAGACTCCAAGATATGCTAGCCTCCTTTCTAGATGCCTTTCCTAGTCTGGAAATTCCCCTCCTCTGGAATACACTAGGAAACCCTGGTGGCATAGTGGTTAAGTGCAACAGCTGCTAACCAAAATGTTGGCATGTTCAAATCCACCAGAGGCTCCTTGGAAACTCTATGGGGCAGTTCTACTCTGTCCTATAGGGTGACTATGAGTTGGAATCGACTTGACGGCAAGGGGTTTGGTTTTTTGAATGGGAATACACTGAACCAATTCTCTGCTGCAAGACAGAAAGGGATTCCCCACCCACACAAGGCAGGAGGGACTAAGTAAGAAAGTAAAAGGGTTTCTGGCCAGGAATTGGGAGCCCTAGTGTCCTGGTCCCATTCCTGCTCGTGCTACCAATCAACTCTTTGTTCCAAGACTGAGCATTTGGCCTCTAGAAAATCCTGACTATGGACAAGGTTGGCAGTGACTTATGTGCCAAATTCTGAAATCCAAGAACTTTGGGCTCCTTGCTTTCTTGAAGGCTGGAAATAAGTGTTGAGGACTCAATGGGTGAGAGAGAGAGAGAGGAGAGTTGTCCCAGGAGCTTATACAGGATGAATGAGAAAAGGGGTCCAAGAAGGAGTGAGCCTTATTCATGGGTGACAGAGCCAGACAAAGAGGGAAAATCTGAGGACTCCCATCCTATGAGGTCACCATGGGAGGAAGTAGCATTGGGGTAACAACCCATGGGTTTGGAGCTTGACAGACCCAGGTAACTATGTATCCCTGGGTAAGGCACTTAACCCCTCTGAGCCTATTTCCTCATCTGTTAAATGGGTCTATTAGTGTCTTCTATGTGCCAGTCAGGTACCCTCCCAGGCACTGGAGAATCAGCCAAGAACAAGGCAGATAAGGCTCAGCTCCCATGGAATGGAGTCTAATTAGGGAAGACAGACCATAAACAAGTAGGTAAATAGGTTAATTTTAGTTAGTGATAAGTGTTATGAAGAAAACTTGAACAGCAATGTGATGGAAAGTCATCAGGGTGGCTACTTTAGAATGGGCTTAATAACCGGCCCTATCTCATGGGTGGTTAGAGGAATTATGTGCATTAGGGTAAGGAAGGTGCTTAGTCCAGAGCCTGGCAGAGAATAATCACTCAGTAAATAACAGCCATCATCACCATCATCATCACTTCAGAGCCACCAAATGAGAGTTAAGGAGAGACTCTGCCTGAGGTTCTTAAAGTAACATCCTTCTCGAGCCTCCTATCTGTGAAGCAGGTTCTATGTCAAAACAAAAGAGACAGCATAATAACCCCTTGCCTTGACTTTCACATTCATTATCTCGTGGAGCCTCTCAACATACATGAAGTGTCATTATCCCTACTTCACAGACCAGGAAATAGACAGGAGACGTTAAGTGACCTGACCCAGGGGACTGGCACAGTGAGCTACGAAGCTGGGCCTCTGGAACCCGGCCTGGGGACTCCGTGACTAGTCACTTTTCCACCAAACCACTCGTTTCCAAGAAGAAATGTAGGCGAGAGGGGAAAATAAAATAAACCCGGATGGATGGTATCTATCCATCCAACTATCCATCCATCACTTTAACAAATATCAAGTAACTATTATGTGCCAGACCCTGTCCTAGAAGAATAAGACAACAAGGTCACCCTGCTATCATGGAGGCTGCATTTTAGTGGCAGCAAAACAGACATGATCACGTAAACAAACAGCCAATATCAAATAGGTGAAGAAAGCTATGAAGGAAAAGAAGCAGGAGGACTTCTGACTTGATTGAACTCTGGGGAGTGGCTGGATGTTGGTTGAGAAGAGGGGTGGTAGGGAAGAGTGAGAAGGGAGATGGGAGGGGAGGACCTTGGACATTCCAGATGAGAGGGAAGGTAACACCAAAGGCATAAGCCTGGAACAATTCCCAGAGCTTGCCTGCCTACTGTGTTCCAGGTGTGAGCCAGGTGCTTTGCATATGTAACCTTGTTTCAAGGAAGGCCAGCCCACTGAGGAGGAAACTCAAGTCCGAGATTTGATAATTACTCACATTTGCATAGTGTGTTACATTTTTCAACATGCTTCTCATACATCTGTCATCACCTCTGATCCCACAATGCTCTTGTAGGTAGGGAGGGAAGGTATGACTCTCCTCAACTGATAGCAAGAAAAACTGACCCACAGAGAGGGCCACTGGCTGGCCCAAGGCTGCTCAGCTAGTACCTCACCGTATCAAGCCTAGAACCAAGTTCTCTGGCTCTCAGCATAAACAACCTTCACCAGGCTGCCTCCTCACAGCCTCCCTGGGAGAGAACTGAATACACGATCAAGAGAGAGGAGCTCAGGGGTCTATCTGATCAGCCTTACTTCCTGAGGCCTCCCTAGCCTGTGGGGTTGTGCAAAGAGTTCACTCTGGGCCCACAGCATGGGAGGGATGTGGTACCAGTTGCTCCATGCGCCATCAGCCTCTTAGGCTCCTGACTCCAACGTGCATCACTCTAGGCATAAGGATGGAGGAAGCCAAGAGAAAAGTAGGATTTCACCCCGAGTCCTTTCTGACTCGAAATGCCCACTGCTTTCTAGCTGAGGCACTTATAACTCCCAAAGAAACTAATGCTTGCCCAGTCATTAGTTGAAGGTTTTACACATTGCTTCCTTCTCTTAGGATCCTAACAATTTAGGGTGCAAAGAGACCTTAGAAATCTAGCCCCAGAGTGGAGACGTGACTTGCCTAAAGACAGGTAGCATATAACAGGATTGGAACTCAAGCCTCCTATCTTCCTATCCAGTGCTTAGTTCAATCACTGCCCTGTCTTATAGGCATCTCAGTAATTCAGAGATGGGAAAGTAAGGACTTTTACTTAATTTTACAGAAGGTGGAAGAGAACTCACCACCAAGGCAGTAGCCTCAACCTCCATGTAGGGAGGTGCCCGGCACAGGGTAGATGCCAGCAAGCTGGGCCCCGCTGCCCTGCAGCCTGAGGAGGAAGAGTTCCAGGGGCTGCCTGAGCTGGGTGTTGACACCCAGATACACCCAGTCAATGGCCTGCCAAACCCTGCTGTGAGCCACCCAGCCTCATTAGCAGTGATCAATCACACTCGCTAATAACCCACAGGGAGGCCCTACTCATGGAGGAATCATTTTCCAGTCAGCCCCACACAAGGTGTTCCCTGGGCATGACAGGGGCTCTTGAGCCTGCCAGTGGCCCATCTAGTGTTCTGAATGCACAGGCTGTGAAATGTGCCTTGTCACATGGGAAGGGGGCTCATTTGAGGACCTCAAGGGGGAAATAGCAGAGCCTAGAGCATGGCTCTGTGGTGGTTCCAGTTTGAATGAGACACTATACACTCATGGTTATAGGAGTAGGCCCCATAGCCACCCATACCTGGTGTTCCAGTTCCAGCTCTGCCACTTACTAGCTGTATGACTTTAAGCAAGTAACTTGACATCTCTGTGCCTGTTTTCTGACCTGTAAAATAGGGGAAGATGACAGTACTAGCCTCATAGAATTATTATGATAGCTACCATTCATTGAGGGCTTACCAAGTGCCAAGTGCTGGCTAAACAATTTACAGTCATTGTCTTACTGAATTGTTACAACAACTTTGTTACATATTACTGCTGTAAGATGGAATGAGATAATACAGGTGAAGTGATCAGCACAATGGCGGCATGTAATAATGTGAACTATATATTACTATTATCATTATTACTAATCCTTTGTGGGGTAGTCCCCAGAAAAGTGCATGACAACTCACAGCCTTACTTTTTCTCCTGCCTATAAAATGGGACACCTCTTCCCAGTGGGCAGAAGCAGGCCTGATGCTTGGAGATTCCCAGATAAGAGGGCAAGCACAGCCAACTTCATCATCTGGATCCAGGTGGGCAAGTTGAGGATGCTCAGGCTCCAGCCAATGATTGTAGTTGTATATAAATTAATTATGTGCCATTTTCTAATTATACCAGAAACTTACTTTCTCTTCTTTGAAAAAACCTCACCTCTATGGGAATTTTGCTTTCATGTTATATTCCCCTTCTTTTGGGTCCCTCCCTTCTATTGTTCAACTGATGCACCTCTAAACCCAGGGTGCCACATCCCTTCACTCATTCATTCACTGATTCATTCAACAAACATTTACGGAGGGTTACTCTGTGACAGACCCTGTGCTGGGCACTGAGGACATGGAGCTGTCCCTGCCCCCAAGAAGTTCCCAATTCTTACTGATCTTCTGGGAAGGCCCAGTGAAATAACACCAAATATTGATGAGACAATTTCCCTTCAGGACCTTCACTAGGTAATTTGCTCTGACCTTTTTAGGAGGCAAAAGGAATAGAGAGAGGAAGGCTTTCCGCCAGGGTTATTTGCCCCATTTTATAGTGGGAAAGCTGAGTTTCAGGGAGGGGAGGAAAGGAAAAGGAGCTAAGTTATCAAATACAGTTAGACCCTGCGCGTTTTCATCCTCAGACATGCCCTGTGAGGCAGATGTTATTATTGCTATTATACACACATAGAAACTGAGGCTTAGAGAGGTTAAGAAACTTATCCAAAAATCACCCAACCCATATGTGGCAAAGCTGGTCTTCAGACACCTTGTGTGACCCCAGAGCAAAGCTCTCAGCCTGCTGACTCGGAATCTACACTGCGCCTCTAGTCTCACGATCCCCTGCAAGGTCTTTTAGGCCAGTGGTTTTTAAACTTGAATGTACATCAGAATCACTTGGAGGGCCTGTTAAAACACATACTGTGCTGAGCTCCACCCCCAGAGTTTCTGATTCAAAAAGTCTGAGGTGGGGCTTGGAATTTGCATTTCTAACAAGTTCCCAGGTGATGATGATGATGATGCTGGTCCAGGACCACACTTTGAGAACACAGTTCTAAGCAAACCAACAGACTCTCTCTTAAAAATAATGACTAACACAGCCCCGTAAAACCAAATGAGACTAACGAGGTACAGGAGTCCAGTGACAAGGGCCAGAAGGCAGAAGGGGACAAGGAAGCTGGTGATAGGGAACCCAAGGTTGAGTAAGGATATTGTTGATGTGTTGTGAGATTGTTAACTATTGTCATAGGGCAACATTTGTAGTAACTGTTAAATGAGAAACTATTTTGTTCTGTAAGCCTTCATCTTAAGTGCGAATAACAGCACAATTGGAAGAGCGTAGTCAATGTCACTGAACTGTGCATGTAGAAGTTTTTGAAATGGTGTATCTTTGGCTACGTGTATTTCCACCAAAAAAAAGACTGAGAAGTTAGAGGGTTGATATGTTGTGGGGTTGTTAACCAATGTCATAAAACAACATGTGTACTTCTGTTTCACGAGAAACTATTTATTCTGTAAGCCTTCACCTGAAGTACAATAAAAAAAAAATAATAATGACTACCCCTCCTTTGACACTCCTCCCTCAACCCCATCTCAAAAGTAACATAGGTTTGGAAATTACAACAAATATATAAAACGTGGAACATACAGAAAAATAGGCAGCAGGGAATAGAATTCACCTAACATTCCACCGCTTAGAGATAACTATTTAACAGTGTGACCTATCTCCTTCTGGTGCATGCAGATAGGAGGAAGGGTGGCATACTGGGTGTGGGTGCATTTGTTCTAGACCCTCAGTTAAGATCCCAGCTCTGCTGTAAGACCTTGGGCAAGCCTGAGCCAAGTCTCAGTCCTCTTCTCTGCAAACCTGCCATTACACTTCTGTCCCTCATTGGATTGGAGTGAGGGTTAAAGGAGATAGCGTATTTATCCAGTACTCGACACAGCGTCTGGTGTAGAGTTGGCACTCAATAAATGCTTGGCTATTATTTTAGTTTTAACAAAACAGAGCTTGGAAGATCCTGTTTGTGGTTCCCCTGCTGCCCTTCCTCTCTCCTCCTCTTCCTAAGGCGCGGGACTCCTGAGGACCAGCCCGGCTGTGGCCACACACTGCTGAGACTGAGCGCCTTGTCCCCGCGCGGGCAGGAGCCCGCGGAGCGGCAGGAGCGCCGCACACCAGGTCCGCCGCCGCCGTTAGCGTGGTCTCGCAGCTTCCCTGCCCAGTCCTCCTGTTTTACAGCCGGAGCTTAATGAGGGCTTTTAACTTTTCATTCACCAGCAGCGCAACTCGACTTTTAATAACACACCTCGTGCACGACAAAAATTTGCTCCTGGCAATCATGGTTTCGACCACAAAACCGCAGCGGGGAGGCGTTCCTGGTTAACTCTTTCAGCGCTCCAGGCAGTCTGGAGCCTGTGCTCGGGGAGATCAGATAGACTGTCGGGCGGAGGCCCGCGGTCGTCTCTGACTGCGATCGTTTCTTGACCCCCATCTGCCTATCCCTCAGTGGCGGCTCTCCAAGGCTTTGGGAAGGGAGAAGATTCCAGACGGGGGTAGGGGCCCTGGCTGCAGAAGGAACAAGGTTGTAGAGGGGAGTCCTGATGCGCCTCCATTCGATAGGCCTACTATGTGCCAAGTCACTTACTCTCGCTGAACCTTCGTTTCCTAGCCTGTAAACGATGTCTACCTCGCAGGACTGCTCAAGGGTTTGGGATGAGACTGTGCAGGTACACTGGACACACAGTAGGCCCTCCGGGCACCGTTACAGTTAGAATTTCGAAAGGGCCAGGCGGTAACACCGAGATTCCCGCTCTTGAGGAGTCTCGATACCAGGGGTAAGGCAGCGGCCGGGAACCCCAGCGGTGGCAGCGCGCAGGCAGCACCCAGGCGCCGACGGGGCAGCAACTTCCTGCGCCCCAGGCCGCTACCCCAGAATGCCTTGTAGCTGCTGCTGTACCCCGAGGGCAGCTAAATGCTGCGGGCTGGAGCCACCCTGAGCTGCTCAGGGAGGCCTTGGGTTGGCGATGCTCCCAGACGCTGAGCCCGACCACATGAAAGGCCCGTGCCCTCGCCACTCGCCAGCTGCCTCGAGCTGGTTTCTAACTACAACGCCTTGGCCTCCTTGCTCCTCAAGATCCTGCCTTGGAAGTGCAGCCTTCTACCTGAGGCCTAGTAATCAGGGCTTTCGTTTCTGGAGCTCCTACTCTGGCCGGGTGGTTCACAGTACACTCCTTCCCCTGCCAGGTAGGTGTTTGTAGTCCTCAGTTTACAGGTGAGGAAGCTGAGAGTCAGAAGGAAGACAAATTCACCACGATACTGCACTTGGAAAGTGGCAGAACTTAGAAGATGCAAATCCATTTTTTCTCACTACGCTGAAGACTGACGAGAGTTGGTCGTTATGTCAGAGCTCAAGATTTACTCCAGGATCCAGGATTTACTCTTAACCTGGGCACTTTTGGAAGGAATATGGCAGAAAAGACCTGGCCACAGCAGCGGCAGCAGCTCAAGAACTTGCAAGGGAACATTTGGTCGGGGCAGTTGAGCCCCAGGCACTGAGGCCTTACTATTATAATCTCAAATGGTGGCCTCAGCAGGCACAGGCTCCCCTCACAACACGCTACACTCAGATTTTCCCTGAAATTGCCCTGCCTTTAAAAAAGGATCCACAGAGAAGCCTCAGCTGTCAGCAGATCTGACTTCAAACCCAAGTCGTTAAGGAGAAAAGCAGGAACTCTTTCTGTTCAAGTAACACAGCTTCTGGACACTTACCCCCTATGGAACAGCAATAATAGATTCTGCCTGCAGCTTCTGAGGTTTTAACCTGCAGATAGTAAGTGGGATGGAGACACATCATAAGCTTTTTTTTGGGGGGGGGGGGCACGGGGTGCAGGTGTTCAAAGTATGGAAAAATGGAACGCACAGGGTTTGGAAACGCTCCCAGATTGGTTATTTTTGTGTAGAGTTACAGTGGTGTTATCAACTTGCTCCTTACCAGACTTTAAACCAAACCAAAGCTCTTATCTCGTTGAATCACCAATAACTGCATGAGGTGGGTACCACTATTGGCCACAATTTACAAATGAAAAAACTGAGGCTCAGATAGGTGAAGTGACTTGCCCAAGGTCACATAGCTAATGAGGGATAGAGCTGGGACTGGAACCCAAGTGCTCCAATGCTCCTGCCCTTATTCTGATTGTATGTGTCAACCCAGGGAATTCATTCAAGAGAAATCTGATGTCTGTTAACTTCAGTGATTGTACTGTGAAATAGTTGGCCAACCCAGGAGAACCCAAGAGCTAGCATCATGGAAACCTGTCTGCAATCAGGACCCACCAACTGCTGTGCCCTGTAGGTTTTCAAGTGCTTAAAACATCTCTTGAGTAGATAGAAAAAAAGAGTGTTCACCTCTCGTCTCTGTCCACTCGTCTCCGAGGGTGGCAAGAAGAGGAGAGTCTGTTTTAGAAGCCTGGTTTCTCCTGCTAGCTACCAGAACCCAGGCTAAAGCAACCCAAAAGCCCGCTTCACCCTACCTTCTTTGAGGGCTGGACTTTAAGCACAAGGTCCATGGTGAAGGTCAGCATCAGCCACTTGAGATTCTAAATCCCAGATGTGGGTAGGAAGGCACCTGCATCGTGCCAGGCAACAGGTGACCTCACCGAAAACCACTCAGCTTCCCCAGCCTTAGAACTGCCTCTAAATAAAACATTTTACTGAACACATCTTAAGACCCTGACTCTGTACTAAGCATTTTACAGCCTTTATCACACTTAACTCTCTGAAGAATCCTACCAACCACTCTTATACCCATTTTCCAGATGAGGAAAATAAAGCTCAGAAAAGTTGAGTGATTTGTTCAAAGTCACGTAGCCTGTGAATGGCAGAGCTGGGATTTAAACCTCAGTCAAGCTGACTTCCGAGCACACATTTAACCACTACACTGTTGCCTTTCCACTCGGGACTGTTCCAGCCCAGCAAACAAATTCCATTAGAGAAACCCAACTCTCTGCCTAAGACAGCTCTTAGAACCACCTCAGAGAGGGTCCTTTTGGCAGGAAGATAGAAACACCCAAGTGGATTGGGGGTGTCTCTGATTTCAGCGGCCCCTTCAGAGTGTCAGAAAGTGGTGCCGCAACCTTTACTGTTTCAGCTCCGTGTTCCCCTCTCTGGCTCGAAACTGTTCAGCAGAAAGAGAGAGAGAAAAACTATTTTCCCAGGGAAACACTCAGCTCTAGCCTGAGACGGGGGCCTGTCTCAACACGTCAAGGCGAGATCGTCAACCCATTCATTTACCCTTACAAATTGCTCTGTGAATCCTGGCGCCGGCCTCCCTGCACGTCCCCCTCCTGGAAACCCCATCCAGCCTCCGTGCTCAGAGAGTGCCAGGCATCTACCAATGTTTACTCACTCAAGTTCATTCGACATCTTCCTGCTCCCAGGCTCCCAGGCTCCCACGACCGGCACTGAGGCTCTGCTGACCGCTTGTCTCTAATTCTTGCCTGACACAGACATTCCCTGCCCAGGAAAGTGTTTGATTTATGTTGAGGTTTGGGTGTCGGGATTTTGCTGACAGGTAGGTTCCCGACAGTGCCAGCGCTGATTGGCTGTGAGGACAGGTGCCGGCAACAGCAGGTATACCTCAACAGGTGCAGCTGTTAACTCTTGGCTTGCCTCATAGGGGCGGAGCCACGGGCCAGCTGGGTGGAGCCGGCCAATTCCTTTCTTGGTGAGGGGGTGGGGGGTGGAGAGGAGGGAGGAGGGAGGAGGGAGGGAGAAAAAAATGTTGGAAAGAAGATAGCTAGAGGAAAAGTACAGGGACAAACAGATACTTGGCTTAAAGGAAATCTCGATTCCTGTTTCTAGTTAGGATCCTGGATACCTAGGAATACTCTCCCCAAATTCTTTTGCCCTCTCCTTTACCCAGCATCAAACACTTCATGGATACTGGGGAGTCTCAACTGAGGAAGCAAATCTTCCCCAGCTGGGTCTCTGTATAAGTTCCGTTTCTTTTATTCAGAGCTTTCCTCTTAAGACCTTATTTCTGAATAATCTTTTACAGTTATTCCAGTGAGTTCTCTTGATTCTCACGGTAACTCATGGGAGATATTTTTCTTCTCCCCCCATGTCCCCACCTCCCCAACACACACTTTACAGGTGAGAAAAAAGAGGTAAAGTGACTTTTCCAAGGGCAGTAAATGTCAGAGCCCAAACTGGAATCTTTAGTCATCTCACTCCAAGTCTGGCTGCCCCTTGAGCTGAAGTCAGTGGCCTCAATTCAACAAACATTCACTGAACCCCTACTGTGTGCCAGGCCCTGTTCTGGGTTCTGGGGAGGCAGAGGCTAAAAATACAGGGTCACTGCTCAGGAAGAGTTTACAATCTGAGCAGGGGGGTGGGGGGCAGCCTTTTATCTGGCATGATACCCATCTGAATGGGATGTGGGCAAACCACATACCTCTCTGGTCAGCACAGAAGGGATGGAAAAGTTGAAGATGGCCACCTCTGAAGCCTTAGTTAGCTGGTCATCTCACAGACTCCAAGTGCTGTGCTCCGCATCGGGAACGTGAGAAATAAGATGTCTGTTAGACTAAGTAATTGTCAGATAATTGCCATGAGCTATCTTCTGTAAAGAACAAGGTTGGTAAACCCAGTAGATCCACAAACACAAACAGGAAAGTGCTACAGCTTTTCTCAGTGCTTCCTCCAGGATTAATCTGAAATTAAATCTAAGCCAAAGATCTTGGTATCTTTTTTTTTTTTTTTTTTGGTAATCTGTCTTTCTGTTCGCCCTCCCTCCCCCACTCCTGCCTGCTTCCCTTTTGGCAAATTATCTCTTTACTCTGTCTTCCTAGGAGCCTCGCCTTGGCCTACTCCTCTCTCTCCAAGGAAGGCAGGGTTTCAGCTACTCCTGCCAATTTAGTGGAGGTTTTCTGGGTAAAGCCAGAATCCAAAGGAGCTCTATTAGAGTGGGCTCAGGCCTATGGAGGGGACCTGTTGGGTTTGAGAACAGTCAGAGGCTGGTTTCTCACTGGAGGCTATGTTAGGGGAGCCCAGGGGTCCTGACAAATAATAGCAATAATAGTGCTAATAAAGCCACCTCCCTGCAGCGGCCCTTTCCGGTCATCCTTGTTAAAGTAAACATTCTGTCATTCCGTATCCAAACCCAAAAACCCCCTGCCGTG